CAGGGAATCAGTCCCAAAGCTGCACGGCTAACGGGGAGGATCCTGGACTGGCTGATGGACTCGGGGAAATTGCCGATGTACAGTCTGGCCAGGAGGCTGGAGCTGGAGTTCGCAGTCTGATACCCTTTCATTCGAAGGCCAAGAGGCCTTCCCACTTTGTGTTTGCAGGATCGCACACTGATCGTTTTCTTGATTGTCGATATGGGTTTTTCACCCGGCCCACGGGCGCGGTTTTCCTGTATAGTAAGTTGTTGAAGGTCCGGCACGCCCTAGGGCACAGCGGTGTAGGAATAATAATAAGAATATATTATTATTCCTATACCGCTATGCCCTAGGGCTCGCCAGACCTTCGACCACTAATTGTAAAGGAAAACCATACCTACAAGGCTGGACTAAGAACCTCTGTCTCTCCTATACTAGTTGAAGTCCTGAATCTACTTACTGTAGGGGAAAGAAGGGGCAGATAGCTAACTAGGCCAGCAAAACTAGCCTAGTTCTAGCCTATAGCTAGCCTATACTCCAGGAGCCTCCCAGAGCATCGTAGGTACCTAATCACCTTCCTTGCAAGCCTTCTCTCTTTGTTTCCCCACCCGTCGAGAGCCCTGTACAGGTCTCTCTGCGAGCGTATCTCTGTAACCGGCCAGGTCCTTTGCTTCGGTGATTGGCGGCACCACACAGCTAAGTGTTCCACTGTTCCCCTGCCCCGGCCGCATTCGCAGTAGGGGGTAGGTTTTCGAGAGACCCTGGCCCGGAAGAGGAAGTCCTTGAGGCCTATAGCTCGGTCCGAGCTTAGGTTAGTAGGGAGCTCTCAGCCTTTGTGAGGCCCTCATGCCGTTCTAGTGCCCTTTGTCAAGTTTTAGCTGGTAGTCGGCCATTTATACGGTGGGTAGAGCCTGGTTCCGAGCCCTATACCGTTGTAGTCAATTGGTGGCCTCCTAACCTACCCAGCCTTCCAGGCCTTATTGAGACTATAGAGTTCTTGCCTTGGGCTCTCTAGATTGAGATAGCCTCTGTAGCTTCTCTTATTACTAGAGATTGCATTGGCCCTCAGGCTCTTTATAGTTCTAGAAGCGGTTGCGGATCCTGTTACAGGCCTCCTCGACTAGCAGGCTAGGGGGCCGGTATCTTAGAAGAGGCCTTGTTGCAGGCCTAGTTGCAGGCCTGGTTGCAGGCCCAATTGCAGGCCTTATTGTCAGCTGAGAAGGCTGAGGAGTCGGGAGGGTAGGCTTTTGGTGTAACGGTCCCAGGAGTATATTGCAACTAGCTGGTGACGACTCTACGAGTTTGCCTCGAATGGAGAGAGAAGAAGAAAAGAGAGAACTAGATGACAGGAAGACAGGGCAGCTCTTATATGCTCCGGACCACACAGACACTGCCTGCCTCAGGATGACGTTATCATGATACCACGGCCGAGGGTTGCCGAGGCCATCATGGGCTCAGCCCATCACATTTGGAGCGTGTCTTCGAAGTCGGCTAGCCTCTCATTGAGGTAAAGGTCTAGTGAAGGAACCTACGTTTCGGCCTCAAGATGTCGGGTTAGAGTAGCCTTGTAGGCCTCAGCTACTATCAGTTGGCTCTTATTCTGAGCCTTCTAAAGGTCTCTTACGATACCCTGTAGCTGACCTCTAATGGGGGTAGACCGGTGGAAGCTTGAAGCTCTGTAGGTTAGGGCACTGCGAATACCTAGTATAGACCTCCCTGGCCTTGGCTAGGGCTGGGCCCTATATCTTAGCAGCTATTCTAGATAGTGCAAAGTCCTGTGTTTTCAGCTTTCGTTCGACAGCTTCCTAGTGGGCCTTCCAATCTAGCCTCCAATCTAGCCAGACTCCGAGGAACCGGCTAGAAGGTGTAGGCTGTATAGCGTCAAAGCCTTGGCCCTCTAGGTGGGCCAGGTTGACTGGGTTTGGCTATTACCTTCGGCCTTTGTTGAAGTGGATCAGCTCGCTCTTTTCTCCGGCAAAGACTACCCCTCTGGACTCGGCCCACTATAGGCAGGTCTTCCAGGCCTCTTCTAGTTGCCGGCAATTGGCCTGAGGTTCTCGGCTAAAGCCTTGAAGTCCCTTAGATTTCTCTTTCTACAAAGGTGCTACCTAAGCCATATAGCGAAGATTTGCCTTGCAGAGGCAATCTAATCAGAGAGGCAAGGCCAGACCTCTCTGCCGGACCTAGTCCGCCCGAGCTGCAAGACTCCAAGGTTTGCACTTTAAGCCCTTCGCAAGAGGCATAGCAATGCAGGGCTCCGTAGGACACCACTACAACCTACGCAGGGTCGGGGCCCAGGTGCGAGCCGGGTACTTCGGCAACTGCAAAGCTCCCTCCCTCTTGGAGAACCGACACATATGTCCGTCCTCTCCAGCTAGCTATACCGCTCCTCGAAACCACAACCTCCTTACGGCGGCGACACCACGCATTCATCCACAGTCCAAGGTACCCTCCCGGTACAATTCATCCACGGCTTCATCCATACTGCGCCTACGCCCCGAGGAGACGTGGCCAGCACGCGCAATAGTCTGACAGGTCCGCCGCCGAGGCATCGCCTGCTTCTCGTCTGCGACCCGGTTGCAAGCCAGGACCGCAACTCAACTGCCCTCTTCTCGGTCCGATATAGCCACCACGGCCTACCTTCCGCCAGGCGTAACCCCGACTTCCAGCTTCTGTTGAACTGAACTGGCTCCTTGGCACCTGGATTCAGGGGCTGGGCACGGTTGCCCAATGCAGTAAGCGTGGAAGACTCGTCACCCACCCAAAAGCAGGGTCTGGCGAGGGTCCCGAAGCCCTCGGTTCTTTCAAGCAACACACACATGACGCATGGTTCAGACAGTCAATTCAAGCTTCATCTAGTGCCTCAATTGATGCAGTGTCACCTGGTTGGTCTATGCCTATTCGAGCCTGTAACTGTTGCTGTCCAACAGCTTCCCGTTGCACCACAAGGGTCTCCCCACAAGGCCGAAGCTGTAGTGCCGACCATATCTCGCAGCGGCGCCGTGCTGGGCGAGAACTACCACGCCGGCATAGTCCTCAACAGCCTCGAACCGCCACTAACCTGCCCTGATCTACCAGTCTTGCTACCAGTTGACTATAGTGCTGCAAAGGACGAAGTGCCTCGTAAGAGGGCCCAGCCGCCCGTGTTGTCTCCCTTAACGGACCCATACTCCCTCTCTCTCCTGCTCTTATAACCGGTCGGTCGGCAAGGCTAGCTTTCGCTCCATATCCTCGTCGTCGCTATCATTAGCCCCCCTCGCCGCTACCACCAGCGCCACTCTCAGAACCGGGCAGGGCCGTGGGTGCCCTGTCTCTTCTTCAAAACGTCGAAAGAATCGGGTGGTTTTCGTACCTAGTATTCCCTATCTTGCAAATGTGTTGCAGTGGTTGATTGCGGTGGTTGTCGTCTATCATCATCGTTCGGGCGGGGCGGTGCGGCATTTTCGGCACTCGATTCCGCACGTCAAAAACCTCGAAAAACCGGCGATTCGACTCCCACGCGGCCGCGCAAAGCCTACGCGGCACTGCAACCCCTTGGAATTGAAAGAACTGATTGAAAAGAACCAGTCTACCAATTTTTGCGATGCCCGGCCGCCTGCGCGGGCGGCCCCCGATGTTTGTTCACCGGGAAGGGGTACACGTATATACGACGTGCAGCTTAGGGCCTTGATAGAAAAGTAGGAAATGATGGGAGTAATTGACGAGAGGTGAGGTGAATAGGAGATTAGGCATTTTGAATTCGAGTAATTGAGATCTGGGTGATGGGTGTATGATTAGCTTCTCTCTCTCTCAGACATCTAGCAACTATCTCTAGTATCTCGATGCCAATGAGCGCTCCTTGTTTGTAACTGTCTCGTTAGGGAGCATCCGCCCGACCACATGTACACTGCATCCAATCTGTCCAAGATTGCTAGGAATGCTGTCAAGTCAGACGACGTCCTAGCTCTGCCTAAACTCTCAACTCCTCCGTCTATCTGCTCACCGACAAGACGATCTGCATCTGCGGAGTAATGGTTCTGGCTCAAACTTGGAAATGTGTCCCGTCGAAGCGCGGCTTGGCCCATGCCGTCCTCCGACTCCAGTCATCCTCAAACACTCTGCTGTGGAACCCAGTTTGGCACGCAAGAGGATCTTTTCGTACGTAAGCAATATATGTCTGTCCAACCATCGTTCCTCAAACAACGTCTCGTGTCTGCTCAACCCGTGCAGGGAGCTCGCCATCACGATCCATGATGGCTCCCAATCGCACCTAACCGAGTCAGGCCCGTACTTCAGGTCGTAACACCGCGGTGACAAGACTTCTCGTCTCACCTCGCCCTTGCATAGATGCTCATCAATACCGAATGTAGCATCCTTCACGCATGTAAGCTCGGACTCAAGCAACATGACGGCACGTCTTTTGAGTGCTGTTCCCTATCATCATTGAAACCTGTGTTGATTTCTCTGCTGACGTGAACGACGACCGGTAAACATGTCAGCTCAAAGAGACAAGCCAGAGGGTTGGCAGGAGTTGAAGTGTATAAGGACGGGCATGTCTGCCGCTCTCAGTGCCCAACTCCTCCCCCTCATCCGCACCCCCATCTTCACTCAACGTCCCACTACTACTCTAAGTTTCAACCAAGGCAACTTCCACTCGCCCATAATGCAGCTCACCCTCTTCATCGCAATCATCCTCGCCTCCGTGACCTCCGCCCGAGACTTCACCCTCTATGACGACGTCAACTACGGCGGTGCTGCCCACAGAGAAACTCGCAACAGCAATGCCGCTTGCTGTATGCTCACCATCCATGTCCTCTCGTACCAACGCGGTCGATACAAGATGAAATCAAGTACTAACAACGAGTCTCTTCAGGGAATCTCAACGGCAAAGGTGACCGCGCCAGCTCCGTCCGCGGCGACAATGGTTGTACCACTTCGTCCGGTCAGTGTAAAACCCCTGAAGGATGTCCGAGAATTAACCTGCCAATTCAGAAGAAGCGTGACTAGATTTATCTAATGGGGAACGGTAGTTAGCGAGATTGCCAAGGCTCCAACTGGCTGCAGCGCGGCATCGCCCTGACTGTGCCGGCTCACTTGAGTAACCACATCTGGTCGTTTCACAACCAGTGCTAGACTCTCGGATTAACGCCCTGGCGACATGGTGTGATGGGGCTGGCTCGGAAGTTGCTTGTCCCATTTTGTGGGTCTCACTTGACCCAGGGCCGCCTTTAAATAGAGGCAGCTTTCTGTGCTCTTCATACTCCGCCTTTCAACAAGGCGTGTTTCTCTACTCGCTCGTTTGAAGTCTCGTTCGAGAGTAGATAGGGTAGCTAAGGTCAAAATACACAGTGACTTGCTGCTCCTCGTTGCTATTGTCTCATGCTGTGTGCTCCAGTGAATAAGGAACCACTACACTACCAGTTAGTAGTAGGATCAAGTACTCTGCGGCTTGAGTCAGGTTTGTTTTGCCAACTTAAAGTCTGTCCGTAATCCAAGACATTGTGGCGAAAATGTAATAGGAACATCTACAGTTGTAATCAGGTACCTATAAGGCTCTATAGTCGGTAAGAAGATGTTCAAGACCGGCTGACGTTGGCTCTGCACACCTCTGCTTTACCTCTCCCCAGCACAACATGTGGAGCTCGTACCAGGCAGGCCCCAAAGACAGGGAGGGAGACCTTGCGCAGCGACTTCCAGCGCAGAAACAGCGCGCCCGCCGGGTCCTTGGTTTATCTGTCTGTCAGCTGCTGGAAGCCCAGAACTGCCGGTAAGAGAAACCACTCTGCATTTGCTGGACCATGGCTGTTCCTTGCCTGACTAGAGGAAAGCAAGGGCGTGTCCTGGGCATCGGTCTTTTCCAGGTCATGTTCCAGCTGTCCCAGCCTTCGGCACATTGCAGAGTCGGGCACAATGCTGAGAGTAAAGAGTCCCAATTTGTCTTTAAAATCAAAACCATCTGTTATACTGTACATACATGGCGTTTCATAACACACGGCCTTCCAGTCTCCCGCTGCCACCGAATTCACGGGTTAATATGGGCCACCAGAATCTCCGTCTTGAAAAGGAACGAATTGATGTCTGAGCTGACCGTACCCCAAATGCCCCAATCTGCCCAACCAGAAACCGCTGCGCCACCGAGGGTATCGATCAGAGCCATCATGACATATTCCTAAAGCCAGCACCGTGTTGCCTGCCTGCCCTCCATCATAATGTGTGGGCACCTTCTATCATCTTATCCGGTGCAGCACGTCTAAAAGGGAGCGCCCATGTGACCAGGCGCATGCATAGGGCCGTGGCGCACCTGGACGCTCTCAGCAATGCGGCCAGCGATCTGGCTCATACTGGAGAGGGTCTTGAGCGCTGGATCGTGCGGCGCGATACGGCTAATTTCGAGGAGCAGCTGCTCAATCCGTGTCTTGAGCAGCGTCATAATCTTGGGCGTGACTTCTCGGACTTGGTCATCCTGCAGTACAGAAGGAAGGGCATTAGCGCTGAGTGCAAAGGCGGGAACGGGTTAAGGACAAAAACGTACCAAACTCCCAAGCTTCTGGTTGAATGCGTAGATTACAACCTCCAAGAGGTTCACCTTCTTCATCAGTTTTTGCGAGTTGCGGCTCAGGTCAACCGACACCGTGGCGCCGACTGAAAGCAAGAGGAGAGGCTGCAGCTCCTGCACGAAGATTGGGTTGTAGTTAGATAGCACCTGCTGGAACACCTCTTCGGTGCTGTCGCCCGACTGAAGCCATCGCAGCATGGCCTCATCATAATTGCCTGACCGCATCAGCCCGTCAATCGCCTCTGTCAGGTTTTCAAGCTCCAACTTCTGACGCTCTTCTCGGCTGAGGGGCGCGAACACCACCTGTCCTTCTTGGCTGCCGTATTGATGAGGATGCTGGTGCTGCTGGTGCGCTTGGTGCCCGTACGGGGCCTGGGCTGGGTGCGAATGCGCCGCAGGTGGCTGATGCTGGTGATGCTGTGCGGGATAGCTGACCAGCTCCCGCGAGCCGGCACTGGGCAGGCCATGGGAGCCAGCGCCGCTGTGAGAGTGTCCATGGCCACGGGCATGTTCTTCGGCGGCAGAAGGCCTCTCGCGAACTTGGTCGTGAATCTGTTGCTTCAGAGCCGCGAGCTCCTGCTGCATCTGGGTTTGAGTCGCCGCCAAGGACGAGATGGCATTGGAGAGGTCCTGCGTCAGACCAATCAGTCGGTCGAACTTAGCATCTTCGCCTCGGCGACGCTCCTCAAGCTGCGCGAAGGCCTCGCTGATCCGACCGTTGACATCCTCAACAATGCGCTGATGCACACTCTGAGCCGTCGTCTTGGCGATGGCGGGAGCGAGAATGTTAAGCGAATTGCTGATCTGTGCCTCAACCTGGGCATTGATGCTGTGCGAGACCTTGTCCGAGATCGGTTTGAGAACGTCCGGCTTCTGCATTATCTGGTTGAGCGCGTTGGGAAGGAGCCTCTGTATTTCCTTTTGAATGGCGCTAACTTGGGCGCTCGATCTGGCACTGAGCTGGTCGGACACAGATTTGTCGACGGCGCTGCGGACCGAGGGTATGACATTGTTATTGATCTGGGCGATGATCAAATTCTTCAGAACCGCCTCGGTGTTGTCGTTGAGGACGTCAGCGACCATCTGCAGCAAGGTTGACTGATTGCTGGCAAAGGCCGAGTCGCGACTGTCCTGGAAAGTTTGCATCTGCTTCAAAATTTCATTGAAAACAGCATCGAAACGACCCGAGATGTTGGAAACGATGCGCGACTCCATTTTGGTGACCACAGCGTCGAGTTCTTGGGAAATCGCGTTGGAGGCGAATGAGAAATCGGTGGAAGGTTTGCTCGAAGCGGTGTCCGAAGATGCCTCGGGGTTGCGAGAAGATTTGCTGTTGGCCTTGGACTGCGATAGCGCCCGACTGATGTCAACCGCGCCATTCGACGTCATGTTGTCGCGATCGGTAGAACCGGCGGCGGCGGCGGCCGCAGCAGCGGCAGCAGCGGCGGCCTTCTTCTTTCGCCCTTTCTTTTCGCTCCTCTCCGGCGCAGGTCCCGGGGTTTCAACCTCATCCTTACGCTCGAACTTTGGCGGAGTCACCGCCTCCGAGACCTTCTTCTCGTCAACCTGGGGCGATGGGACCTTCAGCGCGGCGTCCTTAGCGCCACGCGTGGCGATCCGAATCTGCGGAGTTGCAGCAGCATCACCCGCAACGCTGCCGTGTTGTGTCTCGGTCGGATGGCCCGGGGTCGGAGCCACCAGCTTTGAAATTTTGGCCAGACCAGCTTCGACGGCATCGGCAGGGGCGATCACCTTGTTGTCCTTCGTCCAACCCAGCTCCGACTGCTTGATGAACAAGCACGTGACACCCTTGGAGTGCATGGCGTACAGCTCGAAGAGCGTCGGCTCGTCATTGTCAGCGGAAGCAGTGGGATTTTCGAGAATATCGAGACTGCGGAGCACACCCTTATTGGCAAGCGAGTACTCCCGAATACCACTAATGACGGCAGTAGACTCTGGCTGCGGGATTGACGGATCCTGAGCGACAAGGCGTTGGATGTAGTCGACCTGGGAAAGATTCTTGAGCGTGTACTTGGGCGCCGACAGATGGAGGAAGTAGATCGAGTTGCGAGTCGGATGCCCGACAATGATCATGCTGGACGGCGCATGGTACATGACGCTACACACGGCGTCGGACTCCTTGTTGTGCGGAAAGTTGAACTCCTGCACCGGCTTGCCTAATGCGAGATCCCAGAGCTGGAGGGTGTGGTTTTGCTTCATGCCCACGACCATGTACCTCAAGGCGGCACGTTTCTGGTACGGACGGAACTTATCCAGCAGCATCACCGACGTGGGCCACGCTTTTTCGCCCTCGGGCGTGGTAGTCAGGGTCATGAGCGGCTCCTTGATCTCCAGCGATGTCCGCGCCGGCATGGGGTTGAGGGGGTCGGAGCCCTCCTTGGCAGCCGTCAGGTCGCGGACGTCCCAGAACTTGACCCGGCCGGATTTATCCAGCGAGACAACGAGAGTGTCGTCCTGGCTAAAAGTGAAGTCCTTGCCAGCCTTACCGGTGTTGATCTTCAGCGAGCATTGCTTCAGGAGTTTCTCGGTATCGACAATGCGGTCGTGCCCGTCCTTGATCAAGTTGTTCTCGAAGACAAAGGAGGGCCAGACGATGTTGATGGACTTGCCCCTGCCGACGGCGAAGAAGTCCGGATGCATCGAAGACGCGCGCGCGCGCGTCTTGAGGACGCCGCCCGGGGCATCGCCGCCTTCCTGAGTCGACATTGGCGGAAGAGCGAACCCGTATTGCTCCGGATGCGCATCTTCCAGGTGATCTCGATCACCATTCTTGAGCTGGACCCAGTACACAGTCCCGCTGATACCGGTGCCGATGACTGCCTCCTTGGCATGGTGGTCGGCCGGAGAGGTGGAGATGGCGACGTTGAAGATGCGGTCTTTGGTGTCGGTGAAAAGCTTGGCGTCCTTACCATCGTCTTGCCTTATCACGCGTAGACCACCGGCCTTGGACATACCGTAAGCCATGTAGGTCTCGGTAGCCGAGACAAGGTTGCGGTCCACCTGGTCAAAGTCCTTCTTGAGACGGGCAATGTCGAGAATGGCCTCTTCGCGGAAGACAGGGCGGGGCTCGTTCGTGTCCTGGAGACTTATGGTGATCCATGGCTTCATGGGGAAGTTGTACACCTTGACAGGAGCAGCCGTCTCCTCAATGACGACGATCTCCTCGGCCTCGGCGCTCTCCCAGCTGTCAGCCACGAGTCCCCGGGTCGATTGGGCAAAATCCTGTGCGAGGCTGGAATCCAGGAACGCCCGGCCCTCTTCCTCGGTCGGCTCTCTCTTATCGACCGGAGAGGACGCGCGGGGCGAATGTGAAGATCCCTCGTCCTTTGTAGCGCTAATGGTGCGCTCCAGCTGCTCGGCAGGTTCAACGGCCTCTGTGTGTTCCTGTTCGGCTCGAGCCAGAGCCTCGCTGGCTTCTCTATTGGCCTGCTCGGCGAGGCCGCTGACGGCATCCGCCACGCTCTCTTTCTTGTCTTCGCTGGCGGCACGGCCAGTAGCCGGAACCGCATGGACCAACGAGCTGGGATTGTTTGACAGGGGCGATACAGACCTGCTCTTGGGTCCGGGGGCGGCGTGCATTTGCGATAGAGGAGAGACCGGGTGCTCGAGCTTGCGCCTGGTATGCTCAGGGCTGTCGACAGCGCCGTGGTCGCTGAGTGGACGCTTCTGTTCGTGGGCCGCCTGGACAGGATCGGGCTTCTTGAGGATTTGGGTCGGGACGGGCGCCGGGTGGTGTGCAGGACCAACGGTCGAGCCCGAACCACCTGGCGTGGTGGAAGATTTCGGTGTTTTATGGGCCGGTGACGGTCCCGAATGGTTGTCCAAATGGTCTTGGTAGCCAAAAACAGCCGGCCTCGAGCTGGACTGGTGCGAATGTTGAGAATGTGGGGTGGAATCGAACTTTGGAGGCGGAGACTCAAGGTCCTTGGGTTCAAAATCGAACTCGGAGCGTGACGCCAACGTCCCGACAAGAGTAGGCTCTGCAGAGCGGCCACCGTGCGAGCTCTCGTTATCCCTGTGATCGTCGGCAGCCGGCGGTGGTGTAAGCAGGCTGGATTCTGCGGGCTCGGCTGCCTCGTGCTGGCTCGGTTTGGGCCTGTTGAGGAGATTGAGGAGGTACTGCTGGGTGCCCGAGGGGGGCGATGCCTGGTTCCATGACGAGGAGCTGGGCTCTGGCCTGACTGGTTCGGGCTGCAGGCTGCCCTTCATAAGAGCAGCAAGCAAGCCAGTGGGATCGGCGGCTGCGGGGGCGGGCGCATGGATGACGGGTGGTGCAATCGGCGCTGGGTTGAAAGTCATTGGCGGCTCCCGAGCCGAAGGTTGGTGCGAGTTCGCAGGGCCACCCTGCCCGCTGAACTTGAGCAGGTTCAGCAAATGCGAGGTCCGGTCGTCTCCAGTCCCAGGTCCGCCACCGCGAACGGCGGCCATGGAATTCATCATGCCGGGTGGGAACTGGGAGTGGGAGAAGGCAACGGGCGGTGTAGGAGCTTCGGGGAGGAAAGCGGGCGAATCCAAGGCGTGTTGGGCATGGCTCGGCAGATTGGGTGAGTCGGAATTGGAGTGATTGCCGTAGAATGACTGATTGCTGGGATTGTAGTTGAACTGACCGCGATACTCGGAGTCGGAGGGCGCGCCGGGGCCGGGACTCGGCGACGACTGGAGGCGGAGCTGAGCAAGTAGCGATTCAAACTTGGGATTTGCGGCATCATCGCCGGCGCCACTGCCGCCAGACAAGCCGTAGCTGGACATGGCAGCCACTGAATATCGTGTTCAGACCCTTGCCCAAAGCCACGTGTGTCGAATGTCTTATTGCTCAGGCAGACAGCGACCTCGTTTGACAGGCGGACGATGGTAGAGCACAAACCGACGAAACAAGAGAGAAGTCCAATGCAGGGCCGACCGACCCAACAGGGAAACGTCCAGCAAACACTAATCAACGTAGAAAGCTCCACCGATGACAACGGAGATGGATGGCAATAAAATCACAAAAACGCGTTTCGGCAAAGCTGCTGCGATCGGCAAGCAGAGGCAGCCGCAGGTTTCTGCAAAAAAGCAGCGATGTTTGCCGATAAAAGACGTTTGCTCTGGATGCTTGGGCTGCTTGGGATGGAGGTGCTTCTGAAAATTATCTTTCAGGTCGCCGAGGCGCTGGGAGTTGGGGTGGCCCGAGCTCCTTCTTAGCTTAGCGGTTACACGTGTCCATCGTTGTGGCGCGTGGCAGCAACAGCAATGCAGCAGCGGAAAGCACTCATGGCACTCACGGGGAGCGGGAGCTCACAACGGCCCAATGGTACACGATTTCGGGGCGAAGAAACAGGGCTGCTCTATGTGACAGTCATCGCCCTAGCCGGCAACGACTGCACAAAATGTGAGATGAGAAATGGATGGTGGGCTACTACATATGCAAGCTGATTGCAGCATCAAACAAGTTCGACATCAAGCAAATTGGGCACCATGAGCTTTTGAGTTTGATTGCGCTGCAGCGGCGGAGGATGGGGTGGGCGGGTCGATGGCATTCATGGCGGCGGCTCTCCCGTCCCGTCGTTGGTGGGGCTCTCGGCGAGCGGCGGCGGTGTGGTCGGCTTGTCCCGCGTCAGAACCTCATGCAACGCGACTTGTAGTTCAACCATATGGGAAAAGTTAAAAGAGAGAGCACAAGAAGATGTCTATAGCTGGGCAGCGTTTCTTGGCAAGCCTTTATCTGCAACACTGCAACGAATTGCACTTCATGTCGTTAGGATTGGATGTCCAAGCAAGGTCGGCCTCAAGGGTGGTCCATGCGTCTCTGATAATTGATACCACGCCGTCCTGACAGTAAAGTTCGTGCCAACTTCCAAGCACTCCAGCGACGCCAACCCTCCAACTTCCTCAATCAGCCAAGACACGCCGCTTCGACGACCGATACATTGCAGTCCACATAGAACATCCTGCCTGAAAACCAATCCCTAATCATCCGGCAGCCTACTGAGATTGGGCCTTTGCGCCATCGTCCGACGCCAGAAACATTGCGAATCCCAGGACACATTCACTCGGTCGCTTAGCTTCGCGATACGGCGTTTCATTACCCCGTCGTCTCCTCAGCTTATTGCCATTCCTTTCTCAGGGCCGCGCCACGTCGACCAGGCTGCGGCCCGTCATCGCGAACCTCCTCTCGTGCAACAAAGAGCCGGTCAAGACGGGCGTTGGCATCCATGATGTTTTGTCTTCGCAGGTGGGCAACCTTTCTCCCTTTGGAAGGAACTCGGCGGAAAACCCGCAGATGCTAACAGACATTTCCTTCAGTTGGCTTCCGCTCCTCTTCATCCCGACAAACGCGTCGCCGGCTTTCATCTTTCTCTTCTTTCTCTGCACATACTTCCTCAACCGGCCCTGCTTCTACTGCTCGTTCCTCCTCCTCATACTCTTTTTGACATCATGCAACTGGTCCGACCGTTGCTTCCTCGACCTCGGAAGCAACTGGTTCCAGTCGCAGCCTGCAGGAAGCTACATATACCTGCCCATCCCGGGATGGCAAGTGGACAAGTCCGCTAACCCCAACACCACAGCAGCGGGGTCGAATACAGACATGTTCAACACGACTGTCGGAGCTCTGGCTGCCGCTGCCACAGACCGACTTTCGCGAGCCAAGGTGGAATGGACGGGACTCGGGTTGGAATGGCTACGGAGTTTTCTTGGGCGAAGGGAATGGAGAATTGATTGCCTGGATCTCTACATTCGGCTATAGCCGCGGGTGAGCTGCTTGTTGGTTGCGACTTTGAACCCGGCTTGGGTACTCTTCTCGGTCTGCTCGTCTGATGGCTTCGACCCGACAGGTGGACTCTCCCCTTCGACGACATAATCCGGTGTCTGGGTCTCAACTTGGGTTTGGCGGGCTGTCGTGGCACTTGACGATGACGAGCATGACAGATTGCATCTCTTCCTGTGTGGCCGCTTCTGATAGCGGACAGGCACATCCTATGATGATTCCTGCCACGAACATATTCCCTGGGTGTTTCGCAGCGGTGCTTAGACTGGAACATCACGAAAGCGAGATTATGAGGCGAACAACTAAACTGTCATGTGAAACGTCATCAGTGCATACTGCGAACACGTGATGTTCGCCCGGCTGTCAGAAATAGACGCCCGGGCGATACTTTAATTCCTTAACCAGAAGTTCCTACGATTATTTTCGTAAACTGGCCGAATCAGTACGCAGTCCTATACACATGTATGGTATCACCGTACTTCATCCGCCTCGGTGGACAAGCTTCGGGGAAGGTGGTCCGAGAGATCGACTTTCCGACTCCTGGGGTGGCGGGAAGGTGGTGTGGGTGGGACCCCGAAACCGATCAAGACCAACAAGGGACCAACCGGCATGCTTGATTTCCCAATCAAAGGTCGAGTTTGCTTGCAACGCTGAGACGGTCCGCTGAGATCTAGAACACCAAATTTTCCAAGTTCGGGACAATGACACAGCCTTCCCAGTGCCTCACAGCTCGGCGCCAGCATGTCGTCTCTGCTCGCTGTTGTAAGCGGCTGTACGCTGTACAATACATAAATAAATGCACTTGTCATAGGGGGACTGCATGCCATAGGTCATGACGCTGGCTTCCCGGTTCCCGCTCTATGTAACGTTAACATTCATCTCTTGTATTACACGTCGATCGCCGCTTTCTCGCCCTCCCACTGCAGGTCGAACGCGAAACTTCGGTGGGCTACTATGACGACACTTGCTGACATCCAATACTCCGTACGCGCGAACTCGTCCCTACGCAGTCGTTCTCAACTCACTTGCCGTGTACAGTACCTTCTGTACCTCAGAACTTTTAGCGTTATTCTCGGCACAGGATGGGAGCTTAGGTTGGTGCGATTTCATCATCAGCAGAATAAAGGAAAAACTGACCAACCGATGCGCTCTTCTCTAGCTTAGCGTTCTGATTTAGTAAATGGGCCATGTGCCGCGATACAGTGTATGGTAACTTTCACGAAGTACCAACCCCGCCGGTGAGGTCACTGTGGATCCATGACCTTAGCAGTCACGTCGCACCGCGTGCCATTTGTGGGCATGCTGATCATTGCGATTCTCAGATCGGCTGGGAACCCTGAAAAATCCGCCTTGACATCAAGCATTCCCCATCGCATGCCCCTGATTTTCAAGTATTTCCGGACCACTTAGGAATGGTCTCAGGGACAAGACCAGCCCAGCCCCAGCCAGCCCTTTGCAAAGTGCGTTTCTGTCGTGAATTCGTTCTCATCCTTCCTGTGTCCAACAAGGCACAACTCCAAATCCGGGACACTTCTCGTTTCTTCTTTCCCAATCGGCCACCATTGCTGATTTAAACGTCTCGACTCTCAGCACCTCGGAACCCCCCACCGTTTTTACCAAGGTGAACTTCCTCGAACCCCTCTTGGACGACTCGAGAGCCCTGCCCTCGAATTTCTACTCCCATCAGGTTCAAAGTTTGTTACCGACTTTCACATACAGCCTTGATACCCCTGCGTTGGCGCGCATCAACAGAGACAAAGAGGCTGAAGCCAAGATCTACGCTGTTTCCACCGTTACCTGCCCTACCCGTCACAACATTCACTCGACGACATCACCGACAAGGGTATCCGTTCTGCTCCACCGTCGCCCGAGGCAAACAACCCCACAGGAGTCGACTCTGTCCCCGTTTCAAGACGCCGTATAAAGAGTCAAAGTCCTGGACCGCCAGGAAAGCCGGCGTGTGGCCGGTATTTCAAGAGTTGTAGGCTACAGCCCCCCCCGCCACGATCAAATGTTGACCGACACTTTGTATGGACCGGTACTTACCGATGACCAGCCCTCGTGACAGATTCGACACTCCCTGCCACAGACCGAGAGCAACTGTGAGATACTCGAGGACCCGCATGTGGTCTTGCACTATCCTATGATCACAATTCCCGGCCGTTGACCAGACATGGCGCCTATGTGACTCCCTGGGGCTAGAACAGCAACCCCTTCAAGCCTGAGCCTTCCAGCTATTGTGTGAACGCGTTTGTTCAGCCAGAACCGCCATGCCTCCAGAGCCCTGGACGAACGATAGGCCTTCTTATTACACAATGAAGACACCGGCGCCCGTTGCAGGAATGAGCCCTCAAGCGCTTACGCACTCACGCTCAAATTCTCAATCATACGTCAACAGCAAGCCAGCGACTTCCCCAGTGTCTTCTCCGCGACCGCCACCCTCCGCCGTCACTCCTCACCCGCCCAAGCTCTCTCCGGCAGCTGCTGGGGGCGAGACTTCGAGCCCCAACTACTTTGGGCTAGCTGTCGACCCCACTGCCGACCTTCGGGAATCCTGCGTTGTACCGCGCGAGAACTGGAGCTCGCCATCCTCGTCCGTCAAGTCCTTCGCCGCTGTGATACCCGGTGTGAAGCAACTGCCGTTGGATGCAAATCCCGAGTTCGAGGCCTTTCGGAGACAGATCGACGCGAACCGAGCGAGGAACTCCTTCAGCCTATCGGCTTCTCATTTCACTGTCACGAGCGGAAGTGTACACACCCCCTCCCCCTCCACCACGTCCTCTCAGCATCGGCCACGTCCTCCGAGATGGCACACGCAGGGAGCCGATGGGCCGGACTTTCTATTTCAGAAACACTCGCGCCTTAGCACCGAGTCTTCCAGTCTAGGGGTTGTACCCGGCAAAACCGATAGAGACGCTGATAGTCTGCAAGGAGACTCAGCGTATGTGTCCGGCGACTCCAAGCGCAGCTCCTCCGTATCGCTGAACCCGCCATTCTCCCTTCACATGCCCAGACAGGATGCTTCTTCTCCTCGACCACAGTCTCCTTTCCCTGTCCCTGGTCGAGGGGACGTCAGATCTGCTATGTCGAGAGCAGACGGGAACCCGTCACCTCATTTCTTGGCCCGCAACATGACGGCCTCGCCGACTACCAGCCTGTCCGGCCAAGCCGGCGCCACCGTCGCTAACCAAATGCAGGATACTGGCAGCCCGACCATGATGTCTCCCGGCGAACTCAAGGGTTTATTGGAAATGGACCCGGGCGGCGCGAAGCTCTTGCTCTTGGACCTCAGAGTCTCACCCCAGTTTGCGCAGTCAAGGGTGCGAGGCGCGCTGAACCTGTGTATCCCCACGACTCTATTGAAGAGGTCTACCTTCAATTTGCAGAAGCTCCAACAGACTTTCCAGAAAGATCAAGATCAGGAAAAGTTTTCCAACTGGCGAAACGCAGACCATCTAGTCGTCTATGACGCGTCGTCCACCGATAAGCGGGACGCCGTTTCGGCCATCAACATGATTAAGAAGTTCACCAACGAGGGCTACACGGGTCCTGCCAGTATCTTGCGCGGTGGATTCAATGCGTTTGCATCAGCGTACCCTAGCTTGATCGACCGCTCCTCCGCCGGGTCCTCACCGGGTTTGTCTCTTGGAGGAAGCTCAATGTCCGGTGGTTCCCGGGCCAATCTACCTCCAGTCATTGGCGGGGTGCTTTTGCCCACTACCGACGTCAATCCCAGCCCCTTCTTCAACAACATCCGTCAAAACCAGGATTTGGTCGATGGCGTTGGCCAGATGGATATCGGCCTCCCTTCAGGGCTTTCAGAGGCAAACCTGCCGCGGTGGCTTCGAGAGGCAGCTGATACCAGTGACCATGGCAAGCGGGTTTCGGACAGGTTCCTGTACATCGAGCGCACCGAGCAGTCACGCATGCGCGAGGCGTATTCGGTTGTCTTGCCCGCGGATGCTCCAAAGCTGGGCGGCGCAGGATCCACCAAGGTGCAGCTGTCGGGTATCGAGAAGGGCGGAAAAAATCGGTACAAGGACATCCTTCCTTTCGAACACGCAAGAGTAAGGCTCATGGGCCGCCCGGAAGGCGTCTGTGACTACGTGAATGCGAGCCATCTCCAGGCTAGGCGCAGCTACAAACGCTACATCGCTAGCCAAGGGCCCTTACCAGCCACCTATGAGGTGAGATCACTTAGCTCTTCCGCCGGATACGGCTGCTTTAACCCCCTGTCGAGCTTTGCTGACTCGAAAATACAGGATTTCTGGACAGTGGTCTGGGACCATGACGTCCGTGTTATTGTCATGCTGACGGCCGAGACGGAGGGCGGGCAACTCAAATGCCACCCCTATTGGAAAGGCAATGATTTTGGTCCCATACGGCTGCGCGTCTTGTCCGAGAAGAAGGTGTCACTGGATATCGACAAGCGGAGGACGCCGCCAGCCATGGGTGTGACAACAGCAGCAACAGACGGGTCGTCGAGTTCGGCACAAAGCTCCCCTCCCCATCTATCACAGTCCGAGGGAGGGCGCCGGCGCGCCAACACAACCACCCACCTTGACTCGGCCAGTACTATCCCGTTCAACTTCAACACACAAACATCCCAGGTTGCCGAGACGCCCTACGTCATTATCCGGAAGTTCGCCCTAAGCCACACAGCGCATCCCTTCCTGCCGATCCGCGAGATTACACAACTGCACTATCCTTCATGGCCTGATTTTGGTGCTCCAGCCCAGCCCAGCCATCTCCTTGCGCTGGTCGAGCTCGCCAACGTCATGCAACACGCCGCCCTTCCAATCGAGGTGTCGGGAACCCTGGGCTCGGCCTCTGCGTCACGGCGAAATAGCGATGCCGCTGTCGCTGCTGCCGATCCGGCGGGCAAACCCTTCTTCGCCTATCATGGCTCGGACCGGGGCGGCAGCTCCGCTGGTTTGAAGCGGGCGGACAGCGAGAGTGCGTCTCTGAGCTGGCACGATGCACCCGAGCCGCGCGACCTGGCCAGGCCGATGCTGGTGCATTGCTCGGCCGGCTGCGGCCGCACCGGCGCGTTTTGTACGGTTGACAGTGTCATTGACATGCTCAAGCGCCAGAGACAGCATCACATGTTGACACACTCTCAGAATCAGAAGAACAGCAGTGGGCTGGCGGCCGCCGGTTTGGCTCAGCCGGCCACGCTTGAGCGTGACGCGGATGGAGATATTACCATGGACGTGAACGCGGGCACAAGCGGTCCCAGTGGAGCGTCTTCAACAACACCACCACCACCACCACCACCAACAACAACAACAACAAGAAGCATCGACACGAACTGGCTGGATGACGACAGCATTGATCTGATTGCGCATACCGTCGAGGACTTCCGCGGCCAGAGGCTGAGCATGGTGCAGAGCCTGCGGCAGTTTGTCCTGTGCTACGAAACGGTGCTCGAGTGGATCCGTCGACTCCAGGATGACCCGAGAGGAGCAAGAGGGAGGAGCGGGAGTCTGGCGTTTTAGGGGACAATCGCCAAACGAGGGGTTGTTGACTGCAGCAATACAGCAAACGAGGGACAATGGTCCCAGCGCTTGAGTCGAGGGAACAGATTATAGGGGAAATGGGGTTGGGTTAGCATTGTTAGAGGGGGTATGAATTAGGGTTGGTATTGGGAAGGGAGCCTTTCCTAAGGTTGCTTTGGGAACATAAATGAGTACATACACGGAGTCCATTTTACTCTGTTGGCTGATAAAGGGGTAACAACCTGCTAGAGAAGGCAATTTCTCGGTGATATTAGAGCACATGCATTACGGTTCTTGGTTTAGAGAAGCAATGCTTTTCTTCTCTTTATGAATTTCCCTTGTCTGATGGACTGAATTCAACCGGGAGCTACATGCGGGTCAATATACCAAGGTCGGTCGATTTCCATGGTTTGATGCGCTAGTTTTTAGCCCTTCTCTCCCTGGCGTACAGTACATACAAGGCATGCCCCGGCAATGACGAATCCGTCGGTCTGCTCGGCACGCCATATTTGTGTTACAATCTAGTCACGCGGGCGCCAGACACTCTACCACAAGACTCGGTTGCTGCCATGTTGCTGTGCTACAGAGCGCAGCCGCGCAATTGACTCTTCAGCAACAAGTTTATCATCACCGACTAACGCCAGAGCTTCGCCAGCGACACCTCCTTGTCGTCGTGCTTGTTCAGAATCTTGGCCGTGGCCAGCTCAAAGTCTTCCTGCGTGACGTGCACGCGGCGCTCGCGCAGGGCGTACATGCCGGCCTCTGTGCAGACGCCCTTGAGCTCGGCGCCGGAGCAGCCGTTCATCTTCTCGGCGATCTTGGTCAGGTTGATGCCGCGCGTCAGGTTCATCTTGCGGCTGTGGATGCGCAGAATATCAGCGCGGGCCTCAACGCTCGGCGGCGGGAACTCGATCTTGCGGTCGATGCGCCCCGGCCGCAGCAGGGCCGGGTCCAGGATGTCGAGCCGGTTCGTCGCCATGATGACCTTGATGTTTTTGGTCGGCTCGAAGCCGTCGAGCTGGTTGAGGAGCTCGAGCATGGTGCGTTGGACTTCCGAGTCGCCGCCCGAGGAGCCCTCGACGCGCGAGGAGCCGATCGAGTCGATCTCGTCCATGAAGATGATGCTGGGCGCGTGCTCGCGCGCCATGACGAACAGCTCGCGCACCATGCGGCTGCCCTCGCCAATGTATTTCTGGACTAGTTCGGAGCCCGACACGCGGATGAACTTGCAATCGGTGTGGTGGGCGACGGCGCGGGCCAGCAGCGTCTTGCCGGTGCCGGGCGGCCCGTAGAGCAACACGCCCTTGGGCTGGGCAATGCCGAGCGACTCGAACAATTCCGGGTGTTTGAGGCCGAGCTCAATGACTTCCTTGATCTCCTTAATTTGTTGGTCCAGGCCACCGATCATGTCGTAGGTGCTGTCAGGCACCTTCTCGACCATCATGAGGGAGACGAGCGGGTCGACGGATGACGGGAGGATCTTTTCGAGCTTGTACGAGTCGGACAGCAGGGTCACGCGTTTGCCGACTGTGAGCTTGGCGACGTCGACCGAATCGGCGACATCGACGACTGCAGGGACAGCGGATCAGCATGTGCGCGGGATATCTAGTTGAGTTGCCAGAACATACCGTATTTTCCTTCAGGATGTACCTTGACGAGGACCTTCTTGGTGCTCATGACCTTGACGACCTCGCCGACGTACGAGCCCGGCTGTTGCAGCAAGCCCAGCTCCTCCCTGAGCAGGCGTACCCGCGAGTTGTAGTCGTTTCGTTGGGCTTCTAGGCGGCGGAGAACGGCTTGACCTTTGAGTATCTCGAGCTGCATCGCCTCGATCTTGTTGTGGTAGTAGTTGTCGAGCGCCATGGTGACGGCGTCGGTTTCGGTGCGTGTGGCGATTGGTAGAGAAGAATCGAGGTATCAGGAAATCTCGGGCTCCGGAGGGTTTGGGGATTTGCAGTTCGTTGTCGGGGAAGGCGTGGTAAAAAGATGGATTTCGGTTTGCGCCCGGCAGCGAAGTTGACGTTGGGTTGCGTTGTGTTGTTCTCTGTTGAGGCTCGATTTGGATGGGATGCAAGGGTCAGTGTAGTTACTGGTTTGGACGACCGACTCGAAGGCAGCTCAGGTCCACGCAATGCAATACTTCCAATTGGACCCGCAGATGTCGGCTGAGGCCAAGAATGCAGTACGGAGTACGGATTACCGTATCTACAGTAAGGTGCGCCTATTCCACGTGACTTGGCGGCTAAAAGTACCTCATACGCGTAACCTACGGAGTATGGTAATACGGCTGATAAGGAAAAGCGACAGTCGGTTTGTTAGGGCGTCGGGCCGGTCTCGTGATATCACCCCAAGCCGCAACTCGCTCTTCTCTTTCGAAGAGGAGCCGTCATATTTGCAGTTGGCCTTCAACCACAACATCAGCTGGTGTATAAGTGTACGGATACTTTGTAGAAAGAGCGTGTACGTACGACTGTCTATGCAAAGCCATGCAGATCCAGGGTTCTCATTTCGATCTAATTCCATCCTGCTCTTTTAAACAGCAGAACCTGAAAGAGCTTGGTCAACTTGAAGACCATGGACCCTTGTTCCCGCTTGTCAGCAGGATGTCCCAGGTGGTTTTGCAGGCAGCAGCAGGCCACTCTGCTGGGCCACTTTCCAGAGCGGGACTGCTGCAGCTGACCCATCCCGCAAAGAGCTGACGGCCTTGGCGCCACGAGTTGTTTCAGAGACTCCACTATGACAGCGCCTCGAGACCTCACCAATGAGGTTTGACATTCAAGATTGCGATGACACGCAAAGGGCCGTCGTCCGGCATTTCTTCGTTTATAAGAGCTTGATTTTATTCAAGCCCCGCTCTATCCGTACGGCCACGAGCCAACTCGACTGCATCTCTTTGGTCTACTTGTATCGGACAGATACATAACTTGCCTTACATGAGTTCAGCCAAGACTTGAGCTCCGATTGCTTATCCGTAACTCGGCCTAAAGTGCCGTTGTGCACCTCAAACACCGAGTCTCGCATCGCGGCAACACCGGTTTCCCGCCGCTTCCTAAATCCACCGCCGCGAAACAATTGTCCACTGGCTCGGACTCGGAGGAAACACTGGGCCATGAACCAAACTTGCGCACAATTGCAACCCATTTCCGCACACAACTGCCATGCCATCACGAACCCGCAGCATACTGTCCGATCCGGCCTACAACATCAGTCCTAGTATCGGTGCTGATACTCTACGCAGTAGCGTACCGCAGTGCTCGCAGGCCTGTTCCGGACAAAAACATCGGCGATACATCACCTCTTCGTTACCCTCACTCTGGACCTAGTATAATACAGGGCCTAAACTTCGCACCCTTTCTGCCGCCGCCATGGATAAGTCCCAGGAGCCTGGCCGCGACTCGTCGACTGATATCTCCCCAACCGACACACAACGACCTTCACAGCTCAACTCTTCCACCCGGGATGATGACCGTGGTCTTGACACCCTGCAGTCGATGGATGCTGTGCGGAAGAGGGGACAGGAAGGTGGGTACCGGTTCTCACCAGCTCCGCAAAGCCCAAGCCGTTGTTTTCTTGACTGCTGACTGTTTAATTCTGTGCGATAGAAACCCCCATGCATAGCCCCATGCCCGGAAATACCCCCTACTCGGAATTGGGCCAGTCTCCGGCCAACGACCTGCTGATGCCCCGTCCCGGCCAAGGCACCGCCCGCTCGCCCTTGCTGGGCCCGGAGCGGCCCCGGACGCGTCCCCGCAAGCCTACACTGGCGCGCCGCGTTTCTGCCAACGCATTTCGAGGCGGAGTTTTCTCGGCCGAAGATGGCATCGCCGAAGTCGAAGCCGACGCCGCCGAGCGCCAGCAGACCTACGCCGGAACAGTACGAAGACGAGCTGGTGTGCCGCCCCCACTCGCAACAATCCACCCGCCCTCCGACGATGAGGCCGCGGGCGAGAGACTGGAAGACCAACCCGATCAGATCGACAGCGGGCCGGCCGAGGTCGTCGGTGATGACACTGTCCGGGATGATAACCCGGATGACACGACCCCGGTGGACGAAGACGGGGATATCAGCGATGCCGAGAGCTTCACCCTCAAGGACCGCCAGCAGGCCATCAACCAGACGCACCCGTTTGGCATCAGACTGTGGAAGCCAGCCCTCTACAAAAAGAGCCGCTCGGTGCAGAAGAACGCAGAGGGTGATATCCACTCGTCCCCCGGCGGCCATGTCAGCAACTGGCTCCTGTTCTTCAACCTCCTGTGGACCCTTGGGTTTGGCTGGTGGATGGCCCTCATCTCATTTACCGGCGCTGTTGTCTGCTTCCTCTTTGCTGCCGCGCCCGGCGGCCGCGAGTACGGCCGAGTCCTGCGGGGCTTGGCTGGCTACCTCTTCTACCCCTTTGGCAAGTTTGTTCGACTGGAGCAGCAGGAAGCCTACCTGGACGAGGACGAGGGCGAAGGTCGAAGCATCACCGAATACGAGCAGTGGCAGAGCGGCGACCTCGAATATGGCAGGCTGATCTTTGGGCTCGACAGAAACCGCTCCATCATCGGCCGGTCTCGGAGGAGCATCGACTCGGAACCCGACGAGACTGAGAGCCTGCTCGGAAGAGCCCACCGCCAGGCGCTGGACGAACACCTTCCCCGGATGAAGCGGAGGCTGTTTGGGCGTGGAGAGTGGAATATCGGCCGAGTCATTTTCTTTGCCTTCTTCTACTTTCTGATCACGCCCTCCCTTTTTGTCGTCTCGGGCATTTGCTGGCTGCTAGTCTTCTCGATTCCCATGGGCAAAGTCACCATGCTCCTGTTTTCCCATCTCCGGCGCCACCCGCTGGCCCTGTCTTTCGAGTCCGACATTGCCTCGGCCCGCGCGCCTGCTGCGCCGCATTCTTCCATCTTGGTCTGCACCTATCGGGCTGTGGGCCTCAAGTATTGGAAGTACACGATCGACGGAACCAACATCTTCCTGATCAATCTGATGGCCATTGTGGGCTTTGTCATCTTTGACTGGCTTGTCTTGGATGGGCTCTTGCATATGGAGAACTTCCTCACGTCTCCCGCCTTCCTGTTCGTGTCAGGCCTACTGTCCATCATACCCTTGGCCTATTTTATCGGCCAGGCGGTGGCTTCCATCTCGGCCCAGTCGTCCATGGGAGTCGGCGCAGCCATCAACGCCTTCTTCTCCACCATTGTCGAAGTCTTCCTCTACTGTGTGGCGCTCCAGCAGGGCAAGGCGCAGCTCGTCGAAGGCAGCATCATCGGGAGCATCTTTGCCGGCATTCTCTTCCTCCCGGGCCTGTCGATGTGCTTTGGGGCCATCAAGCGCAAGACGCAGCGTTTCAACTCCAAGTCGGCCGGCGTGACTTCAACCATGCTGCTTTTCGCCGTCATCGGCGCGTTTGGTCCAACCCTCTTCTACCAGATCTACGGCACTCACGAGCTGACTTGCCAGGACTGCATTAACTTTGAGCGCCCCAGCGGTGGCGGCGGCGGCGAGGCTCTCCGGGACTGCCGACGCTGTTATTTCTCGCAGACGCCTGCTATCAATGACCGCTTCTACCTCGAAGCGGTGCGTCCGTACTGCTATCTCGCTGCCAGCATGCTCTTCATGTCCTATATTATTGGTCTCTGGTTCACGCTCCGCACGCACGCGGCCGTCATCTGGAACACCGAGATTGAAGAGAAGAAGCATGACGAGCACGTCGCCCCCCACCCCACCCCTCGACAGTTGGGCACTACGTCCGTTGGGGATGCCAGCGGTGTCGACATAAGGGACTCGCACCTGTACAAGCGTATCCTTGGGCAGTCTCTCCGACAGGTTGGCCAGTACCCGCGGCCCGACGAGGAGACGCGACAGAACACGCCTCTGCCACAGGGCGAAGCGAATAGCACTCCTCATCTTGTCCCGCCGAAGCCTAGTACCACCACGTACGGCACCGCTGAGACCTCTGCGTCGACCATCAGCATTCCCGGATTTTCCGACGCCGAGAACAACAACCTCGTTCATCAAGTGGCAGCCATTGCGGCGACTGCTGCGACGGTGGCCGCCAGGAACGTCCAAAGCGCCAGGCGCGGTCCGCCTGGGTCCGTCTCTACGGCTGCGCCCCCATCCGCCTCCGGAGCGGCCCGCTCGGGAGGGGGAGCAGTGCGCAGCGCCGCCTTATTTCCAGATCAGGAGGACGCCGCTGCAGGAGGAGGAGGAGGAGGAGGAGCGCAGGGAGCTGTAGACAGCCACGGGGGCCATGATGCGCCGAACTGGAGCCGTCTCAAGAGCGCCATCATTCTGATGGGCGCCACGGTGCTCTATGCCATCATTGCCGAGATCCTCGTGGACACGGTCGATGTGGTACTGGAGAGCTCTGATATCGACGAAAAGTTTCTGGGCATCACGCTGTTTGCTTTGGTGCCCAACACGACCGAGTTTCTCAACGCCATCTCGTTCGCCATGAACGGTAACATTGCGCTGTCGATGGAGATTGGCTCGGCCTATGCGCTCCAGGTCTGTCTGCTGCAGATTCCTGCTCTCGTGCTCTTCTCAGCTGTCAACCCCTTGCGTGGGGTACCCTTTGAGGATGCCGCCCGGTACACGTTCTCCCTGCTCTTTCCGCAGTGGGACATGGTGACGGTGATTTTGTGCGTGTTTTTGTTGAGTTATATGTACGGCGAGGGCAAGAGCAACTACTTCAAGGGTAGCATTCTGCTGCTTAGCTACCTGGTGGTCGTCAGCGGGTTTTACTTTGGCGGGTTTGAGACCAGTTTGGAGGACCCGCAGAGTGCTGTGAGTCGATTTGATACGATGGGCAGGGATGGGCAGTGGCTGAGCTACCGGTACAAGACGGTTGGGAGGGGGACTTCGGGGGCCGCTTTCTGAAAGTTCTTTATTAAAGGCTTATGGACTGGCTCTTCTAGGCTGTCGTGGGGAACGCCCCTCGCTGAGCATATCATCGGGGGACTTGGGGGGCTCCAGTCGGTGTCTTGCTTCGTTATGTGTGTGTTTAGGCACGCAGTTGGACGGTTTCGGGGCTCAAGATTGTTGACGGGCTTCTAGTTGGATTGGTTGTCCGGGCAGAAACGTCACATTGGGTGGAGTCTGGTTGCTTAATCACTGGGTGATGACGGATGGATATACATATATAGAGATATACAAGGCGTGCTGCGATGTGTATGGCGTTCCTGTGGCTGTCTTGGAGATGGGAGTTTGGCCAGCGTAGTTCAGTTAGGAACATATGATAATATACTTTGTAGTCAGGTTTCCTGGAGCTAAGGTCCTCGGATGACTTTCTCTTCAATGCGGATATGACTTCGGAAGTGTGCTGTAATCAATTGTATAGCGTTCCCGTGGCCGTCTTGGATATAGGAGTATAAGCGGTCCAGTTCAATTAGGATACATGAGATATACTTTGTGAACAGGACCTGCCACTGGGCCTGCAACTGGGCCTGCAACCGGGCCTGCAACGAAGCCTCTTCCAGGCTACCGGCCTCCGATCCTACTGGTCGAGGAGGCCTGCAACAGGATCCGCAACCGCTTCCCAAGACTATAAAGAGCCAGAGGGCCAACGCAACCTCTAGCAATAGAGGAAGCTACAGAAGCTTTTGCGGCCTGAAATGCCTAAGGCAAGAACTCTATAGAGGCTCTCAATAAGGCCTGGAAAGGCTAGGTGGGCCCAGGAGGCCACTAATAGAACTACAACGGTATAGGGCTCGGAATAGGCCCTACTCACCGTACAACCGGCCGATTATCGGCCGAAAGTTGACAAAAGGGCATTAGAAAGGCATGAGGGCCACATAAAGGCCGAGAGCTACCTACTAACCCAGGCTCAGATGTCACGCATGCAGACCTGGAGGGGCGCGAAGGGAGCGTCCCGAGCTAATCATTTAGGACATGGGCATAGCCAATCACGAAGGGAGCGTGAGGTCCTGTCTTCACTCCATCTAGGAGCGATAGGAACGTTGAACGCTCCTAGCGGACTAGGAGCGACAGGGGCGACCTCCGCTCCCAGCGCTCCCCAAAGACAATAGGAGAAGGAAGTGTATTTAGTCTACGATTTTTAGGCTTATAGGCATTACGGTAGCTTCCTCGGTAAGCAATATAAGCAGTTGGCTATACCTACGGTTGAGACATTTGCTTTTGCATTTGTTATAGACGTTTTAGCTTCACCGAACCTTACCCTATTGATAAGCTATAACCTTTAGGAGTCCCTTCAGAAGTTGGGGCTGAGATTCGTTACACATTGCTTACTCTCTTTGGTTCTATCACGGACTTGACTGAAGGTTACCAATTGCTATAGCACCTAACACCCCGACTACTCCCGCTCTATAGGCCTAGGCCGCCGGAGGTACTACGGTAACTGCTTAGGTACTTGAGCAGGCCAATACCTATAACGCCTAGCTCGAACGAGAGCTCGCCTACCTACGTGGATAGACCGCCAAAGCTAAGATAGAGGCACCGCCTAAGTATAGAGGATCTAGGGATAAGCTCGCTAAATGGCTCGTCTAGATAAGAGCGAAGATAAGCTGCTTAGATGGTTCGAACCAACATTAGACGACTACCTGAAGTATACGACGATAAAGATAAGCAGGATAAGTTCACTTAGGAGGTGTTTGCCAGGTACGCCAAATTCGAGGAAGAAATCCGCAAGATGTTTAGAGCCACGACGAGAAATTGCACGCCTAGTAGCGGCTTATACGACTCCGATAGACCAAGTTAGCAGTGGCCTACGCTACCTAGTTTCGATAGAACTAGCTAATTCCGAGATTAACGACGAAGGTTTGATATAGCTGTTCTATAACGGCCTTACGGATAAAGTTAGGACGAACTATATAAGATGGACCGACCTGATACCCTCGATAGATATATAGTAATGGCAAATCGGATCGATGACCGCCTATACACGTATAAGCAGCAGCGTAAGGGCGAGGGAGGAGTAGCTCTAATATACCGGGCGAATGACAAGGGAAAGCGCTAGTATAAGCGTATATCCTCCGGTAGACATTTAGGAGCGATGGACATAGATGCCACCCAGACCTAGAAGGGAGGAAGGAGGGGTACCGCCAGGGATAAGGCAGGTGTCACCTACTTCAACTATAGCAAGAAGGGATATTTCAAACACGACTACCATAGTACCAAGGAAGATCGGAATCCGGTTCTAGGAAAGAAAACAGCTACTATCTACAAATATGTCAAAATCGTAGAAGTAGCAGCCGCTAGCTATATATAGGACAGTTCCGACTACGACATGAAGTAAGCTAATATTTAAAAACAGGCACTCGCCGACACTAAGATAAGTACCGAAGATAGGAATTTAGAAACCGACGATAAGGGCAAATTGCATCACCCTGCCGAGCGCTCGAAATAGCTCCACTATAGGGACTTGCCCTGACCTATGATAATAATGGTTAGTAGAGGGCTTGACATATAGGAAAACGAGAGGGACCGAACGTCGACTATCTATAAAAACTTCTAATCGAGCTACGGAAGGAGGATACTAAACTTGACAAGCTCCTATTATTAGAGATCAGCGTTTCCACTCAGATAGGCCTTAAGCGTAAATAACGAACGCTTCACCGGACTAGCGATCGAGCACTAGGGCAATATTATCGATGCCAGAACCAAGAGATCCGTTGTTGAAAGTTTTGACTGATTCAGTACAGAAGACTCAGAGAGGCCATAAAGTATCAAGAGTTTGGGTACCTCCGGTAGACCTATATGAAGTTTGGACCTAGAGTATAAGTATAATAACATATAAGAGTATATCCATATAAAGAGCAAAGCACCACTCTTATAGGAAGAATACTAGTAGCAAAACCAGTATATTATTAATACTATTCCTACACCGCTACGCCCTAGGGCGTGCCGGACCTTCAACCATTACTATTAGGCCTACCGTAGGAAGCGAGCAGTAGTAAAGAGACTATAGTACGATCCAGAAGAAGCGATAGACGATACAACTAGGACGGATGAACTAGCAAGGAAATAGCCGTGATCGCGATAGACGAGTATAGGATACTTGAACTCTAGGAATAAGTTATTAGATTTGAGGCGGCATTCATCACTAGTAGAAATTACAGATTCTTATACTACGAAGGTATAAAGATGATGTGATAGGGTAGATCCTAGACGAATACCAATACTACCAATCGTTTAGAGTAAAACTGAGGGGTTGCTAGATTATAGACTACAGGACTATTAGAGCAAGCTTAAGGATAGCGCCCAGTTGAAGTTCTCTAAGGTATACTATGGTAATAAGAAATAAAGACGCTAAATTATGGAAAATACCTCTAGGAGAACCTATAATAAGGATATATTCGACCTTCGACATTGTTAGTAGGCTATCCAGACCTCTTCGTTGTAAAAAAAGATAGGAAGCTATAAATATATATAGACTACCGATAGCTGAATGATCAGATAGTGAAAAACCGATACCTACTGCCCTTGATCTCTAGACTTTGGGATCAACTAGTAGGAGCATAACGGTTTAATGTCTGGACCTACCGACGGTATATATATACATATCCGGATCAAGGAGGGCCATAAGTGGAAAATAGCGTTCAGGATTACATTATAGACACTATAAGTACCTCGTTATACTATTTAAGTTAGCCAACGCTCTAGCAACGTTCTAAGCGGTTTTGACCATATACTTAGACCGTTCCTCAACAATGTAGTCTGTTACCTCGAAAATATCCTTATCTTCTGGAAGATACTTGAAGAATATAAGCGACATATAAAACAGGTACTCGACGTACTGTATAACCAGAAACTCTCAGCCAACAAGAATAGAGCGAGTTCTATGTTAGGAAGATAGTCTTCCTAGACTTTAAAATCTCGCTAGAAAAAATATAGAAGAACCTACAAAGATCAAGGCTATTTACACTTAGCCAACGCTTGAAGAATATAATATAGGTCCGAGGATTTATCGGATTTACCAACTTCTACCGAATATTCATCAAGAGCTTTAGCGACATTGCACGACCTCTAACGTACATTATCAGTGAGTGGGCCACTTTTCCACGCGACGCGCTACATCTACACATTACATCAACTTCATCCATCACCCAGTATGCCTCCTATTTTGAAAGAAGCCAGGGTAATCTTAGCCCTTGAGGCTCTTCAACACGGCAAAAATCTAAGCCTACGAGCTGCAGCAAAAATCTACCGCGTCAGCCGTAATACTCTTACAAGCCGACGCGATGGCAAGACTGCACGACACGATACAACGCCTGGGGTAAAGAAGCTCACTTATCAGAAGAGGAGGCCATTGTTCAATACATCATTGAGCTATCTACACGATGTTTTCCACCAAGACTCAGTGGTGTGGAAGAAATGGCCAACCACCTGCTACGCGAACGCGGCGCGCCCCCTGTCGGTCAACTCTAGGCGCATCGATCTGTCAACGCCAGCCAGAGCTCCGAACGCGTTATACACGCAGATACGACTACCAGAGGGCTAAGTGCGAGGATCCAAAGGTCATTGGCGAGTGGTTTACTCTCGTATGGAACGTCATGGCCAAGGTACGGCATTGTACCTGACGATGACTACAACTTCGATGAGACTGGGTTCCTGATGGGCATTCTCTTTGCGGGTATGGTGGTTACGACCTCAGATGGCCGTAGCAGGGCCAAGCAGGCCCAGCCTAGCAACCGCGAATGGGCAACGGTGATTCAGGGCGTCAATGCCCTTGGCTGGGCTATCCCTCCCTTCATCATCTTGGCTGCGCAGTACCAGGTCGCCAACTGGTATACCGAGTGCCACCTCCCGGCCGGCTGGCGTATCGCAACTACCGACAATGGCTGGACTACTAATGCGGTAGGCCTGGAATGGATCAAGCACTTCGACTACCACACGGCGCCCGGGACAAAGGGCAAATACCG